TTTATCTTTTACTTGGACGTGTTATCTTTGTTTTGTAGTCACAAACCGGTTTGCGTTAGCGCATATATATGGGTGTATGTAATCTCGAGAGCAAGGCTCTCATTTCTGTCGAGTACTGATATAGGTGTCACTGGGTATCACTACAAATTATCAGTACAAGTACAGTTATACGTGAAAATAAACAGTGGAAGTCCACATCTCATTTACCATTTGTCAAATCATCTCATCCAACGATTGGAAAATCGCGACGTGACGTGTCAATGAATGATTCTTCAAACTAAAATTAAGAGACTTTTTGCACCAATTTCTGTTTCATTGTGTAAGACAAATAATAAGAAATTACGTATAATATGTCCGCAGTATCCACAAGTAATTTCAACGAGTTCGTATTTTAATATAAATTATACATTATTTTTATTTCAATTTTCTTAAATAGCGTGATGAGTTTACCGACTCTACCACGTGTTTTGGTGTCGAGCAATGATGTTCCTGCTCCCGGTATCGATTTGCTTCGCACAAAGTAAGTCTGAATAAATCCGAAATACTCGAAAGATTATATAAATCATGAATTTTTTTTTACTGTTAAATTGTTGATATAGATGTGACCTCACTATTATACCAGCTAGCATAAGTACTCGAGAACAAATGTTGCAAGCTCTTCCTGGACATGATGCTGTATTTCTCGCTAGTCATCATATTGTTAACAGCGAGTTCCTCGATGTTGCCGGTAAAAATCTAATTTTATTAATTTTTCCCATACAACTTCCTTTTTGTTCTTCAATTCCATAATTATATGGTCATTCAAATATTCTCAAACGAAATTTAATTATTTAACATTTTTATTTAAAAAAATATACTCTTAAAACTTGATCGTTTCTTATAAATGCTTGGTAAAATACTAAGCAGTGTAAGAGAAGAATAAGATTTAAAATTATTTAAAGTTAAACAATTAAATAAAATCGATATCGTCGTGCCGAGCGATACCTCTTTCTTGCTTCAACATTGAATGACTCGATGAAAAATAATCGTACTGAGAGCTTGATAAAAAAACAAATGAAAAGTAAAGATTCGCTTTTTCGAATGCTGTAAACCATATTTATGTGCAATTTTTAATCCGCGCCGTGGAACTTGACAAATTTCGTAAAAAATTTTGAGATTCGATGCATTTTCATTTATGTTTGCATAACTATAAAATATCAATAAGACCATTTTCTAAAGTACCGATCTGAAAAATAGAGATTTCAAGCTGTAAAATGTTTTTTTCAAACACCTCAATACTCATGATTTTTCACAAAGTTATTCCATCTTGAAATTCGCTTATTTTTACAGACTGGATATTATATTTTTCTAAAAAAGCGATTACAAAATTTTATCGTGTGACGAATTCAATTTTCGTTTTTTTTTTAGGACCAAATTTAAAAGTCGTGTCGACAATGTCTGCCGGGTACGAACATTTAGATGTTCCAGAAATTAAAAAGAGAGGAATCAAAGTCGGGCACACACCGATGGTGCTATCCGCTGCAGTGGCGGAAATTGCGGTGCTCTTAATGTTATCCGCGGCGAGACGCGCCCATGAGAGTCGTATGAAACTGGAAGAGTAATTGTTTTATTTTATTTTAAATTACATAATTTAATCTATTTCTCCCCATCCTCCTATTTATATTTATAAACCAGCATTTCTTTTTTCCGTATGAATACTCTATATGGAGCAGTTTTTCAATTTTTTTTATACATGTGGATTATGTACATATATATACTAGTATATATGGAGAGAAAAAAATTTTTTAAATAGGCTAAATAGCCTGTAAATAAGTAATAGTAGAAAGAAATGGATGGAAATTAATGGCTATCTAATCTTATTGACTTTTCAAACAAAATCTATGCTTGAGAAGCCAATAAGATTAGATAGAAATCAATGTAATCAATATAATTAAAGCATGTTTTTGTTAAATGAATATCTCTTTCTGATACGTTTGATAAATATTTTTCTATTTTATTTTATATTATTTTATTTATACTGAATTAATACTCATATAATTATATAAAAGATGATGTTATCATATCATCTATACATATGAATTCTAGCTGAAAGCAATAAAATTATTATTTAATTTTTCTATTTTTATCAGTCTTTATTTAAGTAGTTGCTTAACTGAAAATTAAATAGTGATTGATGTCATATATGATGATGTAATTAAGAGGTGAATCAAGATTAGGACCACAATGGTTGCTGGGACAAGATTTACGAGGTTCTACAGTTGGCATCTTCGGCCTAGGAAATATTGGTCAAGCAATAGTTAAACGATTAAAGGGGTTTGAAGTAGGGCATTTCATTTATACCGGACATTCACGCAAGAAAGCAGGTAACTAAGCTAAGTAACTTATTAGAAAAGTAATTTTTTTTTTTATTGTAATGTGTCATACATATGTATATCTATATTCTACATCCTAAATTTTCTATTATAATACCTATAAAAACAAGTCGATTACAAAACATGGATTTATCATATGTATACCGAATGTCTTATTCTAATTGCCCATCTCGAATAAATGGACCCTTGTAAATGCCTGTAAATGAACATTGTACTGACTGCGTCCGATAAATGTGCTATCAGCGCATATTGTAACATTCTATCCTTGTTTTATATCTAATGAATGATAACGATTAATGCAATAGTGTTTCTCGGATACAACCATCGTAGAAAATGTGAAAGGCAAAAATTATAGGACACACTTCCGAAAAGATGAAACTTCCGATTTTGTTGTCGATTAGTATACTAGTATTTTGGTGTGCTGATTACACAAATATGATCATGAAAAGAAATATTACCGATAAGGTCATTTCCAAGATCAAACATAAAAAACCGTCTTTTTTTTACATTACATTTTTGTTTTCATATTTTGACATACATTGTCAAGATATACCTTGTCAAGGTCATGACTTAAGTGATCTCCGATAGATTTTAGTTAGTAACCGTTCTTCGTTTAAAGTTATTAATAGGACAAGTTTGAAAAATAACATCTCATTTTTCTGCTATACATTATGATACTAACAATTACCCAATTAGCCTCCCTTTCTGCTTACATACATAATAGCTTTCCACGAAATGATTCCTCTTCTGGTTGTCTGAGGGGGAGGGGGGAGGGGACACATTAAAGAAAGTACGAGGTGAGTCGGATAGTCGAAACCTCTAAGCAAAGGAGGAGATGAGGTAAACTTTGGATTTAGAAAATATTTGAAGTGGGAAATTAAAATGAGACGCTCTGTATATAAAAAAGTTTATTTATAGCTTCGTAAAAAGTTATGCTGCATTTATATTAAAATAGTGAATTTATATTATAGGATTGTTAAAAAATTTTTGCACACTATAAATCTTTTAAATTAACTAACATGATTCAGGTGATGAACTTGGGGCAACGTTTGTATCTCTGGATGAGCTTCTAAAACAGAGTGATTTTATCGTAATCTCAGCACCTCTAAATAACGAAACTCGAGGACTTTTTGATGACAAAACTTTTGATAAGATGAAGAAAACAGCCATCTTCGTAAATATATCTCGTGGTCAAATTGTCAATACCGATTCACTTGTGAAAGCTCTTCGTAATAAGAAGATATTCGCTGCTGGGTTAGACGTTACCGAACCAGAACCGCTACCACCGAAACATGAACTTTTAAAACTATCTAATGTCGGTTGGTAATCATTTTTATTTTCTTATTATTTTCTTGTAACATACGATATCACACACTTGAGTATTCGATAAATCGATTATGCTCTAGAAATTCTATAATTTCAAAATATTCTAGGAATGTAATACTATTATGATGTATTATAATTTACATATATTTATGTACATATCATTAATTTTTTATTTTGGTAATTACAGAAATTACGCCACATATAGGTAGCGCGACAATCAAGACCCGTAACGATATGTCGACAATCGCTGCGCAAAACATTCTTAATGGCCTTGAGGATAAACCTTTGATTTACCCTTTATAACAATTCACTTTTCTTGTGTTGTGCATTTCTTACATTTATTAATTTATTTAAAAATATTACTAAAAATGTAAAATCATTCATGATGTAACAAGATCCTCTTTGATTCTTCAAATTACACAAATATAATCACTCGGCAAATCCTAATCCCAATTTAATTATTTATATAATCAAAATTAATTTATTCATGAAATTAATTTATTCATTAAATTTACTGTACTGATTAAAGCTCCTGACTAGTCGCCACGGTCACATTGGATCGTGATGTTAAGTGAGAAATGATACGTTGAAATTTCTTGCTCTTTTTTTTATAAATAGAGAATTAATATAGAGATAAAACAAAATTATGAGTTGCCTTTTTTAAAAATGGGTTGCAGCAATTAGTCAGAAGCCTCGATCCTTAAGTAGGCGCAGAGTGGGGGTTACAGCCACTTTTTCTTTTCTTTTCCTAGATGGACTCCAGTTTTAAAAGGAGTCACAATATCATGATACAATAAAAAATGAATAAAATGATCCAATATTTAGCTTCCTCGGGAGAGGAGGGAGGGGGCCTCTAAAACTATTGCTTCATAACAATCAGGGAGTGATTTTGTATGTCTACTTAAGAGTTGAGCAATAAAATAAATATTACATTCATATTTAAGTGAGTACATCTCTAGAAATATTTCTAAAAATCTTGCTTACCAAATCCAATTATTTAATTAATTGCTATATTGAAATGAATGATCTTATAAAAGGTACTTCGCAGGATATTTTCAAAAATTTTACAAACACATTAGTATATTTAGATAGCTGGAAGTCTCATGATTTTAAAATTTGGTACTTTCTTCTCTTTATCTAAAATCTATCAATTTTTAAAAAATTTTTAACAATTTATTACTTACTAAATTACTTAATGTAATAAATTGGAACGTTATTACACATGATAATTTTCATAAAAAATATCAAGTATTTTCTTAATAAATAAATAATAAAATTGTAACTTTGATTGTAACTTTGATCTCTGCATTTCTCAAAAAGAATCTCTCTCCAATAGATTTCTGAACTAATATGCCGATCGGAGAAGATCGCTTCGATGACTTTGACCTTGGCTTAATGATTACCTCCAAGAGGTTTTAGCCATCGTTATTCGTTATAGAATTATTAACCAAAATGTTTAAGAAGTAATGTCTCATTTCTGCTATACAATATTAAGAACTACTCCATATTCTCTTTATTAAGGACGTTGAATTTTCTACGTGAAGCGAATTCCACTCTACTTTCCCCCTGCTTAAGGGAGCACGACTTCCACGAAGTAAGGGCCACCTCACCTTTCTTCTGCCTATATCAAGATCAAGGTCATCAGAGTGGTCTTCTCTGATCGGCATATTTTTGCATTAAACCATTATATAATAATCATTCTAAAAGATCTTTCATTTTTCAAAACACACTTGCAGGAATATGAATAAACGTAAAATTGCACAATAAGTAGAAACGTAAAAACATATTTGATATTCTTGAAAAAAGATTATTGTTTATATAATAATTGCAATAACTTATAAATTCATATATCTGAACAGTGTTCAGCATTTATCACCCATAATGGACAACAGGTAACCATCAGGCTTCCACCACTGCATTTTTTAAACTACTTAAGATAGGATCAATCTTATTTTCCAATGATAATACATGACCGGTGTTGCAATTGTGACTAGCAATAAAACTAATGACCAATGGCAACTTATTTATTTGAATAAAATGAAAAAGGAAAACATAAAGAATATAATAATATTAAACATTAAATTATTATTAATTTTAAATATTATTAGATAATTGTGAAAACAATTTCTAAAATCAATCAGTACCAAATTATATTCATACATAATACATTAATAATTTTAGAATTTATTTTGTAATATCTTTAATATAAAGTTCAAATAATTTAATTTAAATTAAAAAATTAAAATTACACACACACACACACACACACACACACACACACACACACACACAGAAATGACTTAAAAAAAATTATTTGATATTTACAAAAGTATAAATTATTTAATAATAATAAAAGTTTGTAATATTTAATAAAATAACCAATTAAAACGTTTTTATTAAATAAATTATTTCTAGTAACATTCAAATAATTGTTCTTTTATCTTTTTTTATTACTTATTATCTCTATGTGTTTATATAATTTTCAAGATCTCAATTATAATCTTGTTTCAAAATTACATAAAATTAAATTATACAAAATAATATAAAATTTATGCATAAATGCATATTTGATACAATTTGTTATGTATTTTACCTGATAATTACTATACATGCATATAATGGTTTTATTTTTGCCAAGCCCCAATTTACTTCCTTGATCCGTAGCCATTCCAAAAGTAGATAAAAAACTGGCTCTTGTAGCTAACTCTGGCGCCTTTTCATTAGCTACAGATATAACAGGTACTCCATCCCTGTCAGTAATTAATATACTATGCAAACCTTCCACATTAGTTAACAGTCCATAGAGAAATTTCTTCAATTCCTAAAATAACAAAATCATAATTCAAATAAATGATATTCCAAAGAGAATTTGATAATTACTAATATGTTTGACCTGCTTCAATTATTGGATTAATTGTAAATATATAATAATATAGTATATAGATATAAATGCAAAAAGATGATTGGTTTCAATAAAAAAAACATAAAGATGGCACACAATAAGAAAAGATTTTAGAAATATTTGTCAGAATAAAATTTTTTGTTAGCATAATTTATTTTACAAATCTTGTTTTGACACACTGTCACAAATGCTCCAAAAATTGTGTAAAATTTTAGATTAGAAATGTTAGAATGTTATTATTATATTTATTTCAAAGGAAATACATATATACGACGTATGATTTGTCAAAGCATAGTATTTCTTGTCATTTTGCAATTTATGGTATTAAGTAATTTATTAAGTAATTCAAATAAAATATTGCTAAAAATTTGTCTGATTATTGATAGAATAGCAAGCTTGAAAATTTTTTTACAAATTTCAAAAAAGATTTATTAACGTCAAATGTGCAATTTTTTAAGAGATTCTGCACAGTATCCTTTATAAATCATTCTAATGATTCTGATCAATCAAATCTGTTAAAAAAACAGATTTTAAAAGTATGCTACGATTTTGTTGAGAATATCAATAGCTTTGGTCATGTTACATGCTTCAATATGGTCCTACCATAGCTCCTACTCATTTCATGCTTGGTGGAACATGCAACACGAACAAACTTAAAGCTGATTCTACAATGAGTAGATAGTCGAAAATTTTAAGTCTTAACCAATCTTAACCAAAATAGGACACTATGATTTTTTGCATCTACAAGTTGTTAATTATACAGCGAATCGTTTAGATCAACTAATGGGAGAATAAATATAAAGTTGAATTTGGCCAATCTTAAAAAAATTGGTAGTCCTCATCATACAAAGTTGGCCACTGGCCAATTTCACTGATTCACCGATAAGACTTAGGAACTATCACCTATCAACTCGTTATAGAATCAGCATAATAGAAATAGAAGATAATATAATGGTAAATTGATTGTAGAAACTGAACAAAAGTTGCCATTTCGTAGTCATTTAAATGATGTATTCTCTTGTAATATTGAGGATAATAAAAATTCATCTTCATCTAAATTATTTATTCCACTTAAATGTTTATAACTTGGCAGATTGTATGTGGTTTTTATTAATACTCTGCTGATAGATAATATCGACAAGCTCTGCCAATAAAATACGTACAGACAATCTGTTGCAATACGTATCTGACAATGAGGAAATCTGTCTTCTGTTATCATACTGCAGCAAGTAATCTGCTTTCTTGGAGATGAGCTGAACAAACTTTTATCAATCTGTCTAATACTTATATCTATATGCAATATATGATCTATTCTTTTTGTTACAATTTTTAAAACTTTTACAACAGTATGATAAAAAAAGATCTATATATTTTATATATAAAGCTGATTCTGCAATGGATCGGTTGTCGAAAATCTTAAACAGTCTTAATCTAAATAGGTGACTATGACTTTTCGCATTTATAAGTAGTTAAATGTACAGCGGGTCATTTACCTCGATTAATAGGAAGGAGTAAAACTTTGGTCAATCTTAAGAAAATTGAGTAACTTGATCGATTCACCGATAAG